GCTTTGTTACGGACGGTCTGGCCGCGACAGCTCAGGTAGCGCCGGCCGGGGACTTCTGCCCCAAAATCACTGGAGTGGAAAGCACAGGATTCACGTAAACCTTGTTAGTTCTGTCAGGCACTGCGATGTGCCGTGTGATGGCAGCCTGAAGATGCGTTCAGAGGAGAATGTTCCCGTTTCTTACGGGAAACATTCCCGTTTCTTCCAGTTCTACAGCTGGAAGCAGTCAGGACCGTTTTAAGACAGCTGGCTGTTTCGTCTTCTGTGGAACCCCGAACATGCTTCCTTCATTGTAATTGTACTGGAGGTTGCTGCCTGTTCATATGTATTGGTGGGGAGCACATATCACAAAATTGGGGATTTCAACATGTGAAAAAATTTGTAAAGAAATAAATACCTAGATTGTAGATGGAAAACTGAAATGGTCTAGTAAGACATGTTTCAGGTGAACCTAGGAACTGTTTTGTCGTAAAAGCTATGGCTGTAGAGTCAGCAAATGTTATGTGAGAGTAAGTCGGTAATATACTGTCTCTTGTAGTTATTTAGCCCTATATTAAGATAGCTTTTGTTTATTTCATGACTAAGTATATAACTTTTTTCTCAGCAATCTTTTTGCTGGTCTGGTGAGTTGAACTGGCATGCAGCACTGGTGGACAAGCGTCAGAACTAGTGTGTATGAAGTGGTACGTCTGTGTCGGGGACCAAGACCTTCCCATGTCAACAGCAGTGAGCTGTTAGGGCAGAAAATCCCATCTTGTGAGTTAGATTATCTGCTGGTAGTTAGAAGAAATTAAAAATGGGTATCGTTCTGTGTGGATGCTTCTTTGCATCCAAATAGGTTTGTTAAGGTCCAGTGAAGGAAAGATTTAACAAATCAGGACTTAAATACTGCTAGAAAAAGTCAGGAAACTACTTCAGACTTAAGTGTGCCACCGTGTTTCTCTCGGCATTGGTACGCGCTGTAGTTTGTTCTTGGTTTCACTTACCTTGTCTTCCATTTGAAAATAGTCCAGCATCCAGAAACAATCAAGAGCTTTGTTGAAAAGACTGAATTTCTCATATGCTGGAAAAGACAGAAAAACCTCTTCTTCATAAAGACAAACTCAGGTGGTATCATCTCTTATCAGCCACAGTTTGTGCTACTGCAGGAAGTTTGCTAGTAGTTCTGAGGTTGAGGTCATGGGTTTTTATTAGGACAGGTCCTCTTCCCAGGGAACAGGGCTTATAACATGTCAGTGCTCATGTGCTGTGGGGTGGAAGCAGAGAGAGGGTTGTTCACAGTGCCTGACAAACACAGCCACCTTGGCCAAATGCCCCATGTAGGTCTCACCTTTCCCGAGTTAGGTGATTCCTGTCTTTCCTCCTAGACCATTTCTGTGGGACTCTGCCTTGAAGGATCTGAAAGATGCTGCATGTCTCTGTTTCCTTTAATGGTAATAAAAAAATGCTAAATATTCACCCAGCTGTGGAAAATAGGTCAGGTGCTGAGGTTTTATGACCCTGTTAGAGAACCTATAGTTAAATTTTGGTTGATGTCTTGTAGCAGTGGACGTTGTGCAGAAGGGTTTAAAAGCTTTTCTGAAGTTGATGGTGATTTCTACAGGGAAGGCAAAGGGATTACTGCCTTCGTTCTCTCCTCCTCTCTCCTTGATTTCAAAAGTTGTAAATTATTGTTAATGGTTATAATCATATAGCTATCCCAGCATGAATCACAATGATAAATAAATAGCATTTAGTCATTGTTTTTCCCCTCACTTTTCTTATTTGGAATTGCTCTTAGCATTCATTTGATAAAAGGGAAGTCAGTCTTCCATCCAGAATGTATCTTTTTCTACTTTTGTCATAAATTCCCTGAATTTTCTACCTTTCTCATAAATTCCATGTGTATTTTCATACATGATTTCTGCTTGACATCTAAATTGTAGCAGTCTGACTAAGCAGTATTCCAGTTGCAAGCCATCAGTAAGGAACTGATGCAGTAGGATTGGAGAGAAGGAGAGGGAAGGATTAGAGATTTCCAAGTTTCTGCAAGATTATAATCACAAATGAGTGAAGAGCAAAGACAGGTGGAGAGCAGCTGAAAAGGTCATGCAGAAAAGGTGGTACCAAGGTAGAGACACTTTGCTGCATGCAGTGGTTTGGGTAGTTTGAATCATCTTTGTGCAGCTTTACTTTCAGACATGTTGTTACAGTGCTTTGGGGGAAGGCAGATAGCAGCTGTAACCTTCTTTGGATTTGTTCTTTCTCTTTGCAGGCTGAGGTGGAGGAAACACTGAAGCGAATTCAGAGCCAAAAAGGAGTGCAGGGTATCATTGTTGTTAACTCTGAAGGTACGGTGTCAGTCTCTTGTTTTCTGAGGTGTAACTTCCTCTAAATGTGCACAAGGACCACTGATTGTACTGCTTGCATTTAGATAACAATCTGCCTTTAGCAAAGGTTTTCCTGTAGCCAAAGCAGATAGACAATAATTAGGCTGAAAAAGAAAATTGGATTCCCATTTCTGCTTTTCTGCAAGCTCACTTTATTTTTTTAGGAAATAAAATAAATTGCAGAAGCTTAGAAACATTTGAGTTACGCCAGTGTTTGAGACTGTTCTATCAAAGCCTTTATCAGTAGCACTAAAAGCTCTCATGACATCTGAAATCTCGCTGCTGTGCATGTCCAGAATGCTGCTGGCTTGGCAGAGTCGAGTAGCTGAGCAGCTGTCGCGTGCTCACGGCCTCGAGACTTGTAAACTAATTGGCTATTTGGTGTCACAGCAGGGTCCAGCAGAGCAGGCTTGTTCAGAGCACTCTGAATCCACTGTGGGCAGCCCAACTTCTTAAAATGGTGTCATTATCAATTTAAATTGAGTATTTCCTGGGACTGATCCTTAAAAAAAGCTCTGTGTGAATATTTGGAAGATCAGATCATTGTGTACTTTTATGCAGCTTGTGCTCCTGCCCGCTGCTTTGTCATGACAGGGAATAAGGGATGGTGCTCTCCAGACAGAAGCTGTGCTTATTTGAGCATACACCTGGCACAGATTTTCTGCCATGTCAGTATTTGCTAGCTGGCTGCTGCATTGTTCTGACACGTGAGCTGAATTTTGGCTGGCTTTTTGCAGGAAAACGTATCTGATGGGTGGCAGAAGTATAAGGGAGGGAAAGCGCTGGCCAAACAAGATCAGCGTGTCTGCTCTCTTGGCTGGGGGACAGGAATTGAACCAGGGGCCTTGCAGCAATGCGTCAACGCTTGTGACTAAACGTTGGAGCCTCAGCTTTGTGTGATGCAGCAGCTGATGTCCTAACTGACACATCCCAGCCTAGTTTACTTGAGTATCAGCTGTGATGGTCAGGAGCCTTTCTGAAAGGAAAAGCTGTCCCCAGTCAGGAGAACAAAATTGAAACATTGGTATTTCCTCTCTTTCCCCAGACTGTATTTGTTTCTGTTATTATTTATTTATATTTAGAAATCCCATAAATAAACAAACAAACAAAAGAAAGCCCCCAAAAGTAAAGCAGTGCTGATACTAGAGGTAAGCAGTTCTCACCTACACAGATCTCAGCCTTTCCACACCGTATTTCTGTGCATGCTCTTCTTTTAAGCCTTTAAAAAGAACACTCCTAATCCCTGGTGTAGGGACATCTGCTCAGGTTAAATACCCACCCTGTTTGGATCTTATGATGCCCAAGGCGGAGTTGGTTCTGGTGTTCTGTCACTGTCCCCTGTTCCTTGCAGGTATTCCCATCAAAAGTACTATGGACAACTGCACAACGATTCAGTATGCGGGTCTCATGCACAGCTTCATCATGAAGGCAAGGAGCACTGTGCGAGACATTGATCCCCAGAACGACCTCACGTTCCTGCGGATTCGCTCCAAGAAAAATGAAATCATGGTTGCACCAGGTAAAAGCGAGTGGGGTGAAAGCAGGCATCAGGGAATCCAGCAGAATTCTCTGGAGATTGACACTGTCAGCCTCCGAGAAGAGTTCTGCCTGCTGCTTTTACATTGTGTAATCTCTTCTTTTCCAAGAATCATAGAACAGTTTGGGTTGGAAGGGACCTTAAAGATCATCCAGTTCCAACCCCCCTGCCATGGGCAGGGACACCTTCCACTAGCCCAGGTTGCTCCAAGCCTCATCCAGCCTGGCCTTGAACACTTCCAGGGATGGGGCATCCACAGCTTCTCTGGGCAACCTGTCCCAGTGCTCCCCACCCTCTGCAGGAAGAACTTCTTCCTGATATCTAATCTAAATGCTCCCATTTTCAATTTAAACCTGTTACTCCTTGTCCTGTCACTACAGGCCCTTGTAAAAAGCTCCCCCCAGCTTCCTTGTAGGCCCCCTACAAGGAGGGAGCATGTTGTAGCTGTGATCACAAGCCACAGAATTTAGCAGCAGCAACCTTCTCAGGAAACGTCCTCAGTATCTCATCAAATTACAGAATGGGATGCAACGAGATGATTTCACTGATGTGGCAGGAGCCCAGCTTTGTTCCTTCACGCTGCATCGGCTCTGGGGTGGGATTGTGCTCATGGAGGGGCAAAGTGGGGGATTGCAGTTGCCTGCTCCGCAGGGACTGGGCAAAGGCAGATCTTAATACAGGCTCTGGGTTTTCCACTGAAGCAGCCTCTGATTTCCATACAAAGGATGAAATGAGAGGAATAAGCATTCTTCCAGGAAAAATGCAGCTACGGGCACTGCAGCCCAGCAGTCTGCCTGTAAGATAGGGGAAATCGCTGTCTTGCACCGCCTGTTTTCATTCCATCACCGCCTGTGCCAGTCACTGTTAGTTCCTAGGCACAAACCGAGTTAAATTCAATTGGCGTGGGAGCATGCAGTTTCTAAAGGTGACTTTCTCTCAGTAAGACCCATAAAAATAAGCGATCTGATGTGCCTGGCCTGTTTTGGCTGTTGCGGATGAATGTCAGGACTCCAGTGCCCGCAGTGCATCAGCAAGACATGGAAAAAGTTGAAATTTACTGTTGCTGCGAACAAATATCAGCAATGAAAGAGTTTTGTTGTTTTTTTTTTTCCCCTCCAGATAAAGACTACTTCCTGATTGTCATCCAGAATCCAACAGAATGATTACACTGACTCGGTCTGGTTTTTTCCTCTGCCCAGCTGTTTTTTTTTAATTTAATGGTAAAGAATAGAGCATTAGTGTTAACTCTGCTACGCCACTTCAGTAATGGCTGAAAAAACAAAAGCAGGTGGTTTTGCTGTTGACAAACAGAAATTGTGGCACTTTTTTTTTTGTATCACAAGTCGTTTTGAGGAGGGGTTGGTGAATTAGAATCAGGCAGTAAAAAAATCAACAGATTTTTTTAATAGTTAAGAAGATAATGTAATAAAATTCTAATAATGTTCTAAAAAAAGATTATTCTGTGTATGTTTCCATGCTTCTGTCACCACTATCTGACATGTGCTTTTACACTATTACTTTTGAATTACTGTAAATATGAAAATCGCTTTTCCTCTAGTTCTGTCGTATTCTCTTGGTTTTACAAGTTATTTTGAAAAAGTCTGTCCATATCATATTAAAAAGTGTCGTCAGTAACTGGTTTTGTCTTACGTGTTTTCCTTCTGAGGATTTTAATTATTCTCATGATAGATTGAGTTTTTCTTCAGAAGAACAGAACCCTCCTAAGGCTATTTTTACTCATCTCTCTCTAAACAAGGATTTACTCTTAAGTGCATGTGCAGTGTACTTACAATTGCCTTGCGTGGTGGAGCGTTTTCCTGCCCCTCCTTCCGGCTGCAGGCAGAAGTGGTGTGGCTGAGGCGGGCCATCGAGGCTGCCTCTGGAGCTGCCACGATTCAGTAGCCCGTTTGATCTGGCATCTTCCATTGGTAATTCTTTTATTGATGGCCATCAAGGACAACAAAAGGTTGTCTGGTTCCTCCAAAATAACGAAGGGGTGATTTTTTAGCCTTGAAAGAACGGTCGTTGCATGCAGAGCTGAAGAATTTGTGCAGAATATCTGCACTGAAGATGTTTGTCACGTGTGTGACAGAGACAGCTCTGGCTGGTACTGAAGAGCTGTGGCGATGCGCGGAACATCGCAGCCTGGGTTCGGGGATGATGGCTGTTGGCTCGCACTGCGCTTTCTTTGCGTGTTCGGGTTGCTCGATCCAGCAAACCGCTCCAGGAGCGAGCTGGGGCTCAGCCAGCCTGGTTCCTTCCCCAGCCTCCTCTGTCCCACAGAGAAGGGGGTGGCTTCCTCACACCCCAGGCCTCAGACTGCTTGTGACAGAAGTGTCCTACCAGCCCGAGGAGGAATTTCTCCCGAAGCGCACCCGAGCGAAGAGGCACAGCCTACAGGCATGAAACTCCCTACGCTTAAAGACCGAACCTTGGCTGAGAGACTGCAGCGTTATTAGGGGATGCTGTGACTTGTGCTGGTGCGGGATCGCTCCTGACTCGCGTACGTCTGTCAGCGGAACCGTGTAACCTGTGTTTTGCCCTGCTCCTTCACAATTACAAACCGTAGTAGCAACATGCGATATTGTCCAGTTCTACGTGGAGGAACAGGCTGAGGATACGGGGGTGACCTCAGCAGGATTTGGGGATGTTCCCGACAACTGACTGCAGTGCAGTTTTGGAGTCCAGTTAAAATGTTGGAGTTGACTTGGGTGCTTTTCTGGATTTCAGAGCACAAAGTGATGGGGTGGAGATGTGCTGACTCAAACAGCAAAGATAACCTGTATGTTCAGCGCTCGTTTTCTGTGCGTTTTCAGACTTGGGCGCTGGTTTACAGACTCTGTTTAATTTTTTAGGTAGCGTTTATGACCATGAAGGCCAGAAATGCTTTTTGAGATCTTTCGTTTTCTGCGCGTTTTCAGACTTGGGCACTGGTTTACAGACTGTGTTTAATTTTTTAGGTAGCATTTATGACCATAAAGGCCAGAAATGCTTTTTGAGATCTCTGAAGGGGTCAGTCCTGCAGCATCCGGGTGAGGGTGCTTTCTGGCATTTTGGCTATCTCAGCTGCCATCGTGACTCGGTGTCGGCTGTCGCTCAGGTTATGAACTGTTCTCCCGTCGGCGTACGTCTGACCACACTATATTGGCGTAGCCCTGGGATCCCATTTTGTGCCAGGAAGGGACCGACCTAAACATCCATCTCCTAGCTGTAGGGAACTGACAACGCGCACAGCGTGTGCTCACCGGCCCTTTATTTACTGAACCTTGGTTTAAGCCCTGCCATCAAACCCATGAGCAGGGTGTGAAATCGTGCCCTGCGTTTGGAGTAGTTCCCGATACGCAGCAGCTGGTAAGAGGCACGTGGTCTGTCATAGTTTGAGTGCTGTCTCCAAAATATTACCTCCAGCAAACTGAAGTCTCTGGACAATAACTGAACAGTGAGGCAAGGCAGAAGGAAAAATGTGACTTCAGTCCTCTCTCTTTGGTTGTTCGTAGCCAGAGAAACGTGTCCCTGGAGGTGTTGACCTGCGTATGCATTTTGGCTTCCCCTAGTAGGTGGCAGCATTACTCTTGAACAGAGAATTTCTCCGGTGTCCTGCATTCGTTTGGACCCTTCCTTAAGAATAGAAGTCTTAATGGTGGTTTTGTGTCGCATCCGAGTTTGGGACGGAGAGTGGTGAGGCGTTCTGGGTGTTTAAACAAGCTGTAATAAATAACCCCATTGCAAAACGAAGGCCGCGCCCGTTTGCTGTGCTGTGTCGTGCGCTGCACCAGTGCAGTGAAATTACTGAGGTCCGGCTGTGTGCCCATTGCTTGGGGGTGTGGAGAGAGTCTGGGGGGTGTTTCAGGGCCTTTTTTGTTTTGTGGGTTTTGTTGTTGGCTTTGGGAGTTTTTTTCAGGGGCTGTTAGCAGTCTGAATTGGAATATACTCCGGGATTGAATAAAGGGGTCTTGAAGCAGCTGGTTGTGGAGTCCGGAGGAGCTCGTCGAATCCGTCTGGTCAGGGCAGGACTACCTTTACCCCAGCATTCAGAGCTGATTCTTTTTTTTTAATAGAAAGGGGTAGATGAAGCTGAAGAACAACAACTTCCATTTAGATAATTCTTATTAATGTGAAAAAGTGTCTTATAAGGAGCATCAGAGGGTCACAGAGATCTAACTGGAAGCAATTCCTCTGTGGCAAGTTAGGGGAGGACGTCATTTTTCCCAAGTTATCTCAAAGAGGGTCAAGAAAGAGAGAGGATGAAGTTCTGCTTCTTGTTTGCCGTGTCTGGGCCTAGTCATCCGTAGGGTAAAATCATTGTCAAATTATGGTAAAATTCTTGTCAAATAGAGAAATAAGCATTATAATCCTGTTACAAAAAGCACAACGAGGTGATTCAAAGGAGAATAACCTTTGTGATCTGTGCCTTAGACCTGCTCTGCGTTGGGGTTGGCGACTGGCTTCATTTGCTGTCTCGGAGAAGTCGGTTTTGATGGATTGCTCTCTGAAGGCAGAGGAAGCATCTGCTGCCAAGATGTGGAAAACAAACCCTAATGCACTGAGGAGCTGGTGAAAGGAAGTTTGAGGTGTGGCTCTGGGCTGTGAACTGCAGCACTTGAGGCCCAAGGACTGCTCTCTTGTGCTGACTCTGCTCTGAGATAAGGCCCTGGCAGAGGAATGGAGGTGATAACGTATTAATGCTGCAAAGCTGGGCCTGTAGGCACTCATCTTCTGTGGATCCAGCTCTGTGTTTGCTCCAGCGCCTTCCCAAGCAACTCTTGGTCTGGCTGAGCTCTGCCTGTGCAGCGCTCCTCTTCACACACTGGACACTTCGGTTTGATCTTAACACTTCTGTAACGTGTACCTACACCTGTAGGGGATGAAAGCCTGGCACGGATAGGTACACTAACCCAGGCTGGCTTTATGTTAGTAGGGCTAGAGCAGCTCCTCCAAGCAGTATAATCCGTGGGAAAGGCTGTGGCAGCTGGGGCGCGCTGGGGCAGTGAGCCCTGACAGACGCTGCCCTGTCAGCAGAAGCCTGGGCATCGACACCGTTTCTGTTGACAAAAATACACTCCCTTTACCCGCACGACAGGATTCCTTCGGGGAAATTTCCCTCTGCCAGCAGGGCTCTGCAAGCGTCCAGGGGTGCTTATTATCGGTGGTGTTTACCCTGTAGGAATGCTGGCATGCGTAAAGCTGCTTGTGGATCCGAGGCTGTGTTAGGACAGCTTGCTGGTGCTGGGTTGGTACAACTGGTTCCTCCCTAAAGCTTCAACTGATGGGTGGTTGTTTTGCATCTGAAGTGCACCTCCGTTTTTAAGAAGTTTTGCCAATGACATCAGTAATAAGAGGGGTATTGGTGTGTGCAAGATTTTTCAGGAAAGCTGATGTCTGTATAAATCATACTCAGCTGTATCAGAAGTCATATCCTGTTTTATAAGTACATTAACATGCTGAGGAGCTCCAGAGCTTCCATGAACCAGTGTCTTTTCTCCTCTGACTGCATGAACAATCTTCTATGGAATTATGACCCCAGTCCTGCAACGAGGTCTGCATGGATAAAATCAGGAATCAAATCACTAAATTACAGTTCCTCGTGTCAGTCATCTGAAAGGGGTTAACGCTTTATCACAACAGTAATAAAAAATCCTTTGCCTGAGGAATTAGTCTGTGAAGTTGATCAGCTTGCCATGTCTAATTCAAAAAGTATTACCTGATTAGGAGGACCTGTATCAAAAATTAATTGCCTCTATCTTAATTGTAAGAGTGAATCTGAAGAGTTTACATGTCCTTGCCAGTATGTATTTAATTAACTGCTGCTTGGTCAAGGTCCCTGATGTTAGCCATGAAAGTAATGGTTTCCTTTCCTGGGTAAACATACAAGGAGAAAAGTATTTGCCCAATTGTAATTAAATATATTTCAGTTGGTGACACAGTAATCAGAGCAGTTTTTCAATACATGCATCTTTCATGTATTTTTTTTACCAAATTGTACTTAATCCTTTAACATTTTGCATCCACTCATGTTTCATGCCAGTGAACAACGAAGCGATGCTTCAGCAGAACACGCCTTTTGTCGCCGCAGACGTTGAGGAGGAATATTAAACGTGGTTCTTCATGAAACGCTGACGCCCTGTTTGCAGCTGGTTTTGATTCATTTACAGCAGCTCCAGAAATAGCCTGCCCTGTCCGCAGCGTGCTGCCGTCTTCAGAACACTCGGCATGGACGTGGCTCGGAGCGCAGTGGGGAAACAGCAGACTCGTTAGTTGGGAATGACAGAGGTGGCCGTGGGAATTGCAATTCCCTGATTATCCCGGTGGATTAGTTTACGCCCAGGGGTGTTGGCGGCAGAAGCTCCCCGAGAC